CCCCAGACACACCACACACACACACACACACACACACACACACACACACGATGCAAAGAACTGAGGTGATTGTTAAGGCAAGTTTGTTTCAGGAAGGAGATCTAGCCACAAAGGGAGACACCTAAGGAGAAGAGGAACTCTGCCCAGGACACTGCCAGTGATGCCTCCTAAATGCTGTATCCTAAGTACCGGTCTTGTGTTGGAGTCCCAGTTTTGCTCAGAGAGACTGGTCTGGTCAAGGGACTGTCACAGCTACAGGTGTAGCTGCAGATGGGGCTAAAAGTGTGGTGGTGAAGGCCTGCAGAGCCTGTCCTCAAGGCATGCAGCAGTGACTCTTGAGAATGGAGAAGGGTAACTGGCCAGAGGTTGGAAAAAGCAATAGAGAGGAGCTGCTCTGTTTACAGAAACCCAGGCAGGGTGCAGATTTTTTTCCTTGTTACTTCTGTTCCCTAAGATTTTTTTTTTCTCTCTCCCTCTCTTTAAAAATTCTCATCAGAGTTCCATCCAAGACTCAAGTTAAAACATTTTTCTCCCCAAATGACTGTGCTCCATCTACTGAAAATCATTCTGAGTTCAATCTATTGAAAGATAAGGAAACTATTACAGTGGAAGATGGCCACTGGGCTCAGAAAGCAAAGAAGGGTGATAAAAATATGAACAGCCATGTATGATTTTTTTATAAAGTAAAATAGAGGAAAACTACATAAAGATTCACTGGATTTTTGGAGGTGCTGAAGTCTGCAAGTATTAAAGAATTATAGTATTAACAAAAAGTCTGTAAAAACCGAAGAGAATTTGGAAAGAGTTATTGTCTTTTTTTATTCCTTTACATTAGAAGAAATACCCAATTTGATCTTAATCCATTCATGATGAAGGTTGAAAATTTTTTTTTAGTGTTTGCCAGAAATTTGTATGTGTTACCTAGAAAAATCCAAGGAACAAGAATTTGATGAGAAAATTTTTTATGATATTCCATTATCATGTACCATTCTGAAAATGGCACACCGGGCATAAAAGGATTAAAATTCAGTGTCCAAATGATTCTTACAATAGTGTTTCCTTTTCTGTAGAACATTTTTAAATTAATTCTTAGCTAACATAAAAACACCAAATTGCACACATTAATGTAGTACCATATGACCAAATGATGCTTCAATGCATGTATATTTTGCTCAGTTAGGTTAAATGTATCTACATCCAAACACTGATCACTTCTGTATGGCAAAATTACCCTAAAATACTTTCCTCCAGCTTTTTGCGCTACATATTGCTATATATAATCACCTTTCTGTCCAACAGCACCCAGAATTTCTTACTCTATATAAACGCAACTTAGTTCTCATTGGTCACCCTCTCCCCAGCTCTCCTTCCCCCTACTCTCCCTGCCTCTGGTAACCACCATTCTACTTTCAACTTTTACAAAATCAATGTTTTTACATGCCACACCGGTGAGAAAGGTCATGTTGCACTTGTCTTTCTATGCCTGACTTCTTTCATTTAGTTTAATGATCTCTAGCCCCACCCATACTGTCACAAACGACAGGATTTCATTTTTAACGGCTGAATGGTAGGTATTCCATTATGTACCACATTTTCTTTAGCTATTCAATAAGTTGTTTCCATTTCTTGGCTATTGTGACTAGTGCTGCCATATACGTGGTAGAACAAGTGTCTCTTTCCATGCTGATTTTTCTCTGGATCAATACCCAAGATTGAAATCGCTGGATCATACGGAATTCCTATTTTTAATATTTGAGGAAACTCTGTATTGTTTTTATAGTGGCTGTAATAATTTACATTTTCACCAAGAAGTTCCTTCTTTGCAAGAGTTTCTTTTTCTCCACATCCTTGCCAACACTTATTATCTTTCACCTTTCTGATAATAACCATTCTTACTGAAGTGAAGTGATACTTATATTATAGTTTTTATTTGCATTTTTCTGATAACTGATTTGGAGCATTTTCACATATCTGTTGGCTATCTGTATGTGCTCACTTAAGAAATACTATACCTATTTAAATCTACTGACTATATGCAAATCAGGGTTTTTCTTTTTTCTTTTTGCTGCTGAGTTTTGGGAGTTCCTTATGTATACTTTATAAATATTTTCTCCCATTCTGTATGTTTTCTCTTCCCTCTGTTGACAGTTTCCTTTGTCGTACAGACGCTTTCTACTTTAATACCATCCCATTTGTCCATGTTTGCTTTTGCTTTTGTTTCTTGTGTTTTGGGGATCTTGCCTGAAAAAAAAAACATTGTGCGTTCCAATATCCTAAAGCATTTCCCCTATGATTTGTTCTAGTAGCTTCATTGTTTCACATCTTATATTTAATTGAGTTAATTTTTGCAACTGGTCAGAGACAGCAGTCTAGTTTCATTCTTCTGTGTTTGGATATGCAATTTCCCCAGCACTATTTACTGAAAAGACTGTCCTTTTTTCAACGTGTACTCGTAACATCTTTGTAAAAAAATCAGCTGGCTGTAGATGCACAGCTTTACCAGGAGGTTCTCTGCTCTGTTCTCTACAGGTGGTCTGTATATCTATACACAAGTTGTGCCAATACCGGTTGTCTTGATGACCTCAGATTTTTAGCAATTTTGCAGTTAATTGTGGATAAAATAAATTTTCCTCTCAAATCATTGTTACTGCAGTAAGACAAGTGTCTTCTACAGTCAAAGCCTCTGGGAACCAAAATTCACCTCAAAAAACCAGCAGTTTTACAGCCAGGCTCTTCTTGTCAGCTGCCTACAGGAAGAAAGAAAAAGCCCACTGAGTTGTTCTGGGTATGTGCAGCCCCGCACTCCTGGCTCTAGCTCCTGTCTTCTCAATCTGAGATTGCTGGGGTCAGGGCAGAGCTGTGCAGCTTCCGTGACGCCATCCTCATGAGGCATAATCTCTTGAAAATTCTCTCCTGGAATATCAAATCCATGCAGTTAGGGACAGCATCTGAGAGCTGTGACCAACTCAGGAAGAACTGTCGTTACGGGAGGAAAGAGGATGGACTCTTTCCATGATGGCATGATGACTCCCAGTTAGCACTTTAATGAGCATTTCTGAGCCACGTGTGCAACCACATTTGCTGATGAAATTTGCTGAAGGGAAGGCTCTCCCTTCAAAACGTAGCTGCTAAAATGCTTTTCATATCTACAGAGAACAGAGTGTTTACAATTTTACAATTATGAAGATACCATGGAAACTGCTGAACTGTGAGGCAGGTGGCACTGGCTGCTGTTTTCACAAAAGCACGAGGGTGATCTCAATTGAGAAACCAGGGGATCGGATCCACCCATCTGGAATGCCACCCATCCCCTGTGTGCTTGTCCCTGCAATGATGGGGACCTGAGATCCCCAGACTAGTGCTGCTCTGACAATTTGGTATTTCTGGAGAAATGGGAACACTGGAAGGGGCTTGCATTCGGCTGAAAAGCCACCTCAACAAACCAATTCTAGGCATCTATTTCATGCTACTGGCTGGCAATCGTCTTGAATTCACCTACCACTTCTTATGGATTCTACATGGAGAAGCCAATATCACACAGTGCAAGGCTCCTCAGTTCTTTCTGCTTCTTGTTCAATTCTTTCATAAATTAGTTGTTGCACACATAATGTTATGATTATAATCAAGGCTACACCACCAGTGAATGTCTGGCTCAAACTGGCCCATTTAATTCTAAAGCCCAGGCTCTTTCCTCAGTCTAAGCACTGCTCCCAACCTCCTGCGCCAAAAGTCAGGACGCACTGGACATTTGTTTTTTTAGTGAATTGAAATTAATTTGCTATGAGGATCTACAGACCCATGAAATAATGGAGAGGGCCCAGATTCAGTAAGCCTATACTAAACACGGAGAGTAACGAATTTTTCAGGGATGAAATCCCTCTCTGTATCTCTGATCACCAGGTCAGAAGAGCTGTCTGGTTGCTAAAGTGGTCCAATCTCAAGAGTCTTGGATGCCAGAGTTTCTCTACCTACAGACTGGGGCCAGACCGACTTTCAGCTGCGAATCCCCCCTGCTCTGCCCAGTCAGGGGATCCAGGACATCAAGGACAGCTGCTCAGCAGAGGAACTGCGGAAACCAGAGAAGCCCAGAGCCTGGAACCACAGCTGGCGGACAGAACAACTGCAGCAACCCCAGACCACAGGAAGGAGAGATGGATGGGGTCTGGAGCACCAAAGATTCCTTGCTTTCAGCCCTTTTGGATAGACCCGGAAGAAGGCTTCCGGCCTCTTGCTCTCATTGCTACCTCACAGATAAGCTTGCAGAATCCTGGACTACCCCGGGCTTGGGGAAAGCAAACGTTTTTCCGGATTGCTAGGGCGCCCGAATTTCCAGAGTTTCTCCTGGACCCATACAAGAATTTGGTTGGCCACCGCACCCGCTGCAGCCCTCTGCCTTTGAGCGTTTAGGGTGTGCGGTCTCCGGGAGGCTCCAGCGTCGGCCTCCCATTCTCCACAAGCTTCCCCTCAAGGCCCCGGCCCCACAATACCCTCGATCCACAATACCCAGTTTTTCATCTCGATCTTCTGCACTGTGCGGCCACCTCCATTCCAGGTACCCCGCGGGGTGGTAAAGCGGCCTCAGTGAGGCCAACTTTTCCCTGGCCGGGGCTCCCTGGGGAAAGGTGGAGCACTCATTGCACCGGATTCCCCAAGCCAAACCCTGGAAGCCTTTTGGGATGGCTGGAGCAGCGCAGGAGAAAGCTGGGACCTATGAGATTTCTGGGACCCAGGACTCCTGCAACTACGGTAAAGAATGATTCTGGAACCAGAGACCCAAACCGGGGCTACACAAGGAGTGGGAATTCAGAGGCGGAGCGTCTGGGGGGAGCGTCAGGACCAGGACTGGGCGGAAAACTGACCCCGGGGCGGGGACATGGACTTTGCCTCTTAAAGGTTGGCAGGGGAGGAGGCTCTCTGCTGACAACTAAAGCTTTGTCCCCATGCCATTTAAAGGGCAAACGTGAGGCGTGGCTGGTCGCACCTTTGCATGGGGAGCGCCCATGAGTTTCGGTACAGAGCAACCGGCCCAGGCCCGGGAGCGGCTGGACATGGCCGGGTACTGTGATGGCCTAGGTTCCTGCTCAGTCACACACGGCCAGGCACGGTCCGTCGCGCACCAACCGGGCTACGTGCGCGGTGATCTGGGAGCTGCAGGCGGCGGCCCGCGCCTGTGGATGAACTCGCCGGGGCTCAGCCCTGCGCCCTAT